TTCTTGTAGACTAAGTGGTCGCCTAATGAAAATTGAAGTAGTATTCGATTAGATTTGAAGTTGTCGTCTACGTGGAATGAAGAGGTCGGCCAATTGGAATTGAAGTGGTCGTATACTGGGGAATGAAGTGGTCGATTGATTAGAATGGACCTTTCCGCTAAGCCCCGCCCCTTGGATATTGTTGCTAAGGTCCCACAAGGCGGCAGTGTTAAAACATACGCGAACACGTGCGTTTGTGGGACGCGCGCGTATTCCTAGCGCTGTTCTGATTAGTCAGTTGTTCAGTTTGATTGGCACTCCGGAAAGATCAATTGGAGTGTTCGTCTTCTGGGAAATGAAGTGGCCGGCTATTTGGGAATGTGATCGGCTCTGGAAATTGGAATGGTTAGTCATTTGGAATTGAAGTGGTCGGATACTGGGAATTAGCATGCTCTGTTAAATTGAATTAAAATGGTTCGTTATAAATGTTATACAATTCGCCACTTTTCCAAAGAACCAATCTTCAATCTTTCAACACAATTCTAACCCTCTAAGTGGAGACCAAAACCGACACCACCCCAGATGCTCAGGTCCCAAGCGTCTCGGAATATTAAAGAGATCTCGAATTGAGGAGTGCACTATATCTGGAGACCGAGGCTTACCAGGACTCAAAATAATGAACAAATCATAATTCGTATTTTCAATCGTATGAATGTGGACGAAGTATCATTCTGATAAGGATAGAAAAATTAATTGCTCAAAATGTCTTATTGATGCCATAAGATTCGAGATGCTTATTCCCCCATACATAAATAAAGTGCAAAAACACGGCATATATAATATGAATAACAATGACTATTTTACACGAGTTGCCAGGTATTGTAAAAATGTTAAAAAACAATATTAAATAATAAATGTGTTATGAATACGCAAGGTACAATATAATATACATCATTTTTTGAATAAAATGCATACAACAAGTGAATACTGTTTCGAATAACAGACTACTGGTAGAATTTGAAATACACTTAACTTGCCGAATGTGGCCCGAGGCATTAATGACTTGCTTAACACGCTCTACAAAAGATGGTCACTTGAATTGTATCAAGTTTTTTAATTAAGTGCTGCGTTTGCTTCTGTTCAGTCTAAAGCCGGTTTTCCACTCGGCGAATTTATTCGCGCGACAAAGCGTCGGTTCGCTTTCTGAGCTCCGATTGGCTGCGCATTTTTTCGCTTCGCAAAAACTCCGATAGGAATGTGAATGCGCATGCGCATGAACCGACGCTTTCGATTCGAGCGAATAAATTCGCCTAGTGGAAAACCGGCTTTATACCGAATACTTTATAAGCAGCTTTAATTAACATTTTATTTTTGATTTACCGTATTTAAGGCAGACAGATCATGTAGGTGGGTATACCTCTTTATTCGTATACCTAATATAGAGCACTAATAATCCGGGAGAGATCCAACTTTTTGTGAAAGCTTGTGAAGAGGAAGAGAGCGCAATGTCAGAATGAGGATGTTTTACAGGGGTTCAGAGGTCATATCCCGAATTGAAAACTATGAATTTAGGTCTACGTAAATGCACAGAAAAAAATTGGGGAAAAAAATTATGTTGATGATGATGATGATAATGATGATGATAATGTTGACGACGACGACAACGGCGACGACGACGATTAGAGGATGATGAATGAATATAGATGACAGTGATGATGATGATGATGGAAATGATGATGATTCGGCGATTCTGAATAAACAAAAAACAGTTTGATTGCAGCGTTTTGATGGTATTTAATCTAATCACTGTTGCTTAACATCGGAATGTAATTTTTGATTTCGTGTGTGACGCGCGTGTAGGCAAATCCGCACCCCCACCCCCGGCACCCGATCCAATTCAAGTTATCTGCCAATCCCTAATAATGTGGTCTAATGAAAAATCTCGCCATGAATCCTCCCTCACCACCCTGGAAGAATTGTGTACCAGGGACAGTGAACCACGGAAACCCGGTTCACTGAACGCCTTAACCGCCGGTAGTTACACAACTGGTACCGGTAACTTGCAATCGAAAACGTTGTCTGTATTGGCAATTGATACAATCGGCCACATGAGAATTTTTGTTAGTTAATGAGAATTACAAACAGTGGTCGTCTACAGAATTTAAGTGGTCGGAAGTGGGACTAGGTATTGAAGTAGTTGGTCAATTGTAATTGAAGCGACCGGCTACTCGGTACAGTAGTTGCTTGGATTAGTGTTCAGTTACAAGAAAATGAAGTGTCCAGATAGGGTTATCACTAGGTCGCCAGGCAACATACGGAAGTCAACAGAAATTTATATCTAGTCCTACAAAATCAAGACAATAATAATTATTTTGTTTCGTCCGAAATGTGGAGGGTAATTTTAAAGTTGTTGCGTATTGTTAAATGTATAATGTCATTTGAATTCCCGTCCGTAGGCCTAATATTTCATTATTATCACATTGCTGTCGAATATAAAATGGAATATATTGGCAAAAGCTCGTGCGATATGATAATGTTATAATAACACTACTGTTATCATATAACGGTCTAGAATAACCAACCGTAAAGTGCGTAATAACTAATTGGTATTCATAAAATAGGGATTTTTTTTATCAGAGTTTCATTAATATCGTATCTTTAACCGTATGATTTTATTTAGACTGCAAGCCCATCAATTCGGTGACGGTAGTATTTTTGTTATGATATAGCCTATCTGTTTATTGCTTTAAGCTAAAAACCTTGAAGAATAATAATTTACAATATACGAGTTGCTTACAATACGACGGTGAATTATGAAGTTCATCTTTCAACATGAAAACAAGGAAATATTTCATTCATAAGCAAAGCTTCATCCGAATCCGAATTTTCGGATCGAAAGGCCCTACCGATCCGATCAGATTGAATTAGTATGTAAGAATAGGGACGCTTGCGGTCCGCGCACATGATACCAATGACACGTGGCCTGAATTTCGTTTCGGATCCGATGTGAATGCACTTTATGGCGCATAAATAATACCGTACATTAAAGCCCTGTTCAGACTATAATATTTTATTTAACAAAAACATGTGACATGCCTAAATATGGTCATACAACAGTTTTTTTCGTCAGTAATTCAGTGGTAATGCTATCTTCTGTCGTTTTTTCGTAATGTTTTTTAGTTAGTATTTGCATTTGCAGATTTTTACAGTATTTATAAGTTGCAGTACAAGACGAAGATGGGATGGGGAGGGGGATTAAAGGTACTGTAAAGCAATATCGAAACTATTTTGATCCCTTTAGCGCCAATTTATTACATGACATTAAAAAATAATCTCGTCTCGTCCTGCTGCTACTACTTAATGACTCTTTGATATTTTATGGACACGTGTGTCTACTTCGTCTACAGTATAAGAAAAACAACAATATCTGTGATTAGTTATTACGCCTACTATACGGTAAAAAAATTAGTCTGCAAAACATAAATTATTATTATTATTTTAAGTAAGTCGGATTGGATTGGATTTATTCGGTGTAAATAACAAGGATAACCCACACAAGTCTAAAGAAGCCACAATGCACACAGGAACCGTTTAAACGTCTCATCCGAAAGACGGTGCGCTATCGTAACTACCATTTCAGGCCTCCAGCTGAAACACAAGGAGAGCAACTATGGGAATTGAACCGGGACCTAAAGATCTCCACGGTTCAGCGCACACACAGTGGCTACCACCTGTTTTGCCGACTGAGCTAAACTGCGCACTCAATTTTATAAGTATTAAATTAAATTTTTGGAGACGAATGTATACGTTAGGTATTTCCATCTTGAGTTTAGTATACAGTATGTAGTTATTGTATTCTTGAAGTAGGTCGTCAGCCGACATGATTCCATAAAGAAAGCAACGCCACGACGCGCGCGCAAAAGATCGTTTTTAATGACGACCCGTTCAGACTGCCACCGACAATCAACAGACGGCGTAGCGTCGTCTAGCGCTCATAAAGTGCGGAGTTGGATTCGTCGGCCGACGTCAGTGTCACTTGATTTATTCATTTTATAGCCATAACTTATATAATAATAAAATAATAATACAATTTTTATTGTGGGGTCCCTCCAAGGAAAGATTAGTGACTTGATGTATGCGCGGCAACAAAACTCGCCTTAAATTCAAGTTAAGCTTTGGTACTTTATAAGATATTACATCTGCACATTTCGTACAGATCGCTGTGGACTGACACTCACCTTGATAGCGAGCGTTTGCAGGTTTGTACCCCGTCAGAGACGCCTTTTATTTCATGCACATGGAAAGGAGCAAACGAAAGCAAAAAAAAAAAAAAAAAAAAAAAAAAAAAATATTGTAAATACTGTACAATACACTTCTTAACTTTTTTTTTTTTCGGGATACTTTTTCAAAACAACCAAGCAAGCAATAAAGAACTTTCGTTGAGAGGCTACGTCCGACAAATTTTGCATATTGTTTTTTTCCGAGCAATGTTTCTACTTTACAGTATGTAATTATTTCGTCCATTTCTACTAGTATCAAGAACAGTTTACTTTTGCTTAGGCATTTTCTGTTATCATTTTTTAATGACTTACCTGTGCAGCTATAAGCATACATTTCGTCAACCAACAAAAGATTGCACAATAAACGCACACACGTCATCATAATAGAGGATAATTAAGATTAACTCAATATGTATAAGAAATAGGCCGAACAATAAACGATAATGCGATAAGGGTGATGGCATTCAGAACAAATAAAATGCATGGGTCAATAAGATTGAGATATATGGTTAGTATCAGTTACGAGACTAAATACAATACTGTATAGCTGAAAACCCCATTATTTAGTTCATATACATATTTATATATTTTCAGGCAATGAATTTAACTAGGGCTAACAAGTTGCCATAGTAGCATTTAACCATTCTACTTAGGCCATAGGATCCTTGATCGGTTTTATTATGCAGCGTATTTCTACGTCGTCTGAGTAATAGTGAAAGTTTGAGTATTATTGAATGATATTACATCACCGGAAGCATGGAGCCAATCAATATATTACCAATGTTTTAAAAGTGATCGTTAGATTCCAGTTGTACGCGACCAGGCTCTGAGGCAAAACAGTCTATCATAATTCAATTTAGGGATTGTTTGGCGAACTGCGCAAACGCGGTATTATGGATATTATTAAAGCTGTCAAGTAAAGAGGCTTGTATCTGTTGTATGAGTACAGTAGCTAACGAAAGATCAACCTCTGGAGGTTACGCTGTAGATAGAGAATGTGGTTGGCGTATCGTCTGCTGTACTATTCATGTATCTTGAGCGCCTTTCTCATACAAACTAAGTAATAATGTTTCTTATTATGCAACGGTATATAGGCTTTGTTATCGTTTACATTCTGCGACGGTGCATTTCTATGTTGTTACCAACATTTTATTTCCTTTCGCAGAGCGCTCAGTACTGGTAAACATACTAGTCAGCTGGCAAACGGTCGAGAGATCGTAAACATTACACATCTAATGGAAGGATACGACATCAGATTAAGACCCGACTTTGGTGGTAAGTACATATTGATAATTATTTTTAATGCTTTCAGCGATATGATAGGATACAAAAACAAAGTGAATTTGGTAGTTAAAATTGTGAATGATATTCAATCTAAATGGTAGCATCTTTTTTTGCGATGCATTGAAGAATACAGTGAACTAATAGGGCCTACTTTTGAAAATAACGTAATAGAAGATATTTATGACGTAATCAATAACAATTAAAAAAATAACAGCAGGTTGTGTATATCACTTTTTCTGTCAATAGTAGCATAACTAAATAATCTAACATCTAATAACAACAATATGTTGCTGTTTTAAGTATATGCTTGAATTGTAGAATGATTGACATAGTTCTCAAACGCATCTAGACACACACACACACACACACACCACACACACACAAACACACACATATATATGTATATAGTATATAGTATCTAGTACTATATATATATATATATATATATAGAAATTCGAACAGCGTTTCTGAAGCGCTCCTCTACGCCAGCGCCCCTACCATTTTTATACACTGATGCGGTGGAATTTCCGGTCCGAAAGTTCGGATTCGGTGAGAAAGCTACTTTAGAGTCTTAGACAATTGCGTGGTTTGTTTTCTGACAATCATACTTGATTATATTGTACACAGGTCTATACCAAAATAATATGAGATAGAATTAAGAACACTATCCCAACAGATCAGCACACACATAGGCCTGGTTTCCATAGAAATTGCTACACTCATTTGGCGACGCTGATTGGTTAGTTGAATTCAGTTAGCGTTCCCGATTGCGTCGGAGACAGCTACCGTACGCAGTGCAAGGAATGCAGTAAAAAAAAAAAAAAAACAAACAAGAAAACAAAACAAAACAAAACACAAACCTGTAGTGAGAGTGTAATGATTGTATGGAAACCAAACCTTTATGATCACCATGTTCTTCAGTCAACTGTCTGTGTAATAATAAATTGTTCTCTGGATCAGACTCAATGTGTTTTTAGGTAATTAATGTTTAACATTAAGCGTACATACATGCTGACAAGGCGGCTAAATAGCCTGTATTCGACCTAAGAAAATATTTGTCTTTAACCTACAACAGAGAAGATAATCATGTTCACGCCGCTATGTATTGGAAAAAAAAAACATGAACTGCCGGTCTGATAATTTGTATGACACACGACAGTTGAATTTATGTCAATATTCGAATGTTTGTTAGACAGACTACTCTATAAAAAAGAGGATATTTCGTAATCGTAATAGGGATGTTAATGGGTATTAACCGACTTAAAGAATTACTGTAAACACGCGGCAGTACTCCACTCTCGATCCTTTAATCGTGATGAGAATATTAGTGTTTTTATAGTATCATTCAGATAAACAAACTAGTAAACCAGTGGCGTTTCTAAGAATTCGCAATAAGGGCCGAGGAAGGGACTTTTACAGATGGAGGGTCCCCAGCCGGACCCCATCATGTTTAGGGCTAAAATAATAATTCTAAGGCTTTGCCGCCCACGCCTCCTCTAACTGGACGAAAATAGCACACGAAACTTAATTTGAATGTAGTAATATTCTCATCAAATTTTCAACGTAACTGTAGTTAATTTGAATTATTTTCTAATATTGAGCAATAGTAAGTTATAGGCAATCTAAATTTTAAGTTTATTATCAACCTGTGTCAGGTTTTACTATACAATCAATCAATTTTATTGGCAGTATCAAAACCATAACGATACATTCAAAATATAAATGACCATACAAGAAAATATTAGTTGATAACATTAAATTACTCGCCTAATAGGCACTTCTAATGAAATTGACAGTAGGAGAGTTTTTCAGCCTGATCTACAAGGAATGTAAACATATTCTTTACTGTAAGCAGATGATCAAAATGTACAAGCACTTAGTATTTATTAAGCATGATCATTCTCGGAATATGATATGCATTGGTTAATATAGAAGGAAATCATGTACCGTATCTTGTACACATATAGTATAACATATACTGTAGTTCTATCACACGTTTTACATCGTTCTGTACACCGGTATAACTTGAACGTTCACCTAAAAGGATGATGATTATATTGACGATGATGATGATGATGATGATGATGATGATGATGATGATGATGATGATGATGATGATGATGATGATGATGATTATAAAGAAGATGCCAGAGGTAGCACCGTCTAGTGACAAAATAGGACGATGTAGGGCCCGCACATATGAGAGGGCGGTATGCCCTTTGTTTTGGATTGTTTGGTTTTGTTAAAATTACTGAGAGGTGGTATCCCACAGAGTGATGAAGCGCCCTTGAATCGAAGACGTAAGGAAAGCGAAGTACAATCAAAATATAGATAGTATGATGATGGATGATGATGAATGACTACTTGCAATTTTTTGAACTCATCAAAATGCTAATCAAACAAGGGCAATATTGAGTCGACATTGTAAAGGATGAATGATGATGAATTTCTAACAAATATTTCGACAGCAATGACAACTTAAACTCAATTATTCGACGAGATTCTATGAATCATAAAATAAGTATGATCGTATAAGTATCATAGTTATAGAATTATGCATTAAAAAAACACAATGTTTTCAATTGAGAGCCATTTATCTGTCAGATAATAAAACGATTTTAAATGATCACTGTTAAAAATGGCCTTAAGTGCCACCGTATGATTTTTCTAGTACCAATAAGAGCATACCGTAAAATGCTCGAATAAGCGCAGCTCTCGAATAAGCGCCGCGTAATCGAGAGTATTATTATTACCCTGTGTGTAATGAAACACTTTGAGAAACAGGGTATTAGATGATATAATGTATACAATGTTAAAACGAATAAATAACACAATGAAAACACACGTCTTTCTTTATAAACGTTTATTTACGATGATGTATGACCTCATAGGCCAACTGAACTATACGGGAATACTTGAAATAGGTAAGCGCAGCTTTCGAATAAGCGCCGCACTGAAGCCTCAAAAAAATTTATAAGCGCCACGTCGCTTATTTGAGCATTTCCGGGTGACGCCATGGTGATATTGTACGCCTAACGTCTATACAGCAGTTTCACAAAATTTCGTCGCACAACAATGCAAATTTCTGCCAAGTCTCGCCCCTTGGATATTGTTGCTAAGGTCGCAAAAACGACAGTTTTTAAACATACGCAAACACGTGCGTTTGTGGGACAACACGTGTGTTTGTTGGACGCGCGCGTATTACTGGCACTGTTCTAGTTGGTCAGTTGTTAAAGATGTATTGTCTCATGCCAAATACAAAAAAAAAATCATTTTGAAATAACATATTAATTATGAACTTAAATATATAAATTAGTGAATTTAAAAATGCCCATAATTTTACAACGAAAAATGATAAAAACACTTCCAGTCACTGGAAGTATTTTATTATTCTTATTATAATTATCCAGGTTAGAAATCAGGGTACACATTCATATGTTAATGTAAAATGAGCAAGTTAATTTCAAAATCATTTTTTAATGATTTTTTTGTCATTTTTTAGGCGACAATACATCTTTAAGTTTGACACCCCGCAAAGGCCAATTTTGTTTCAGGAATAAACAAAGTTTGTTCTTTACACTAATAGAGATTGACCAAATAAATAAATATAGGCCTATACATACCGTATGTTAACGCAAAATAAGCAAGTTAATTTCAAAATCATTTTTTAATCATGTTTTTGTCATTTTCAGGCGGCAATAAGTTTGACACTTCGCAAAGGTCAATTTTGTTTCGGGAATCAAGAAATCTTGTTCTTGACACTGATAGAGATTGACTAAATAAATACGTACTGTATAATAATAAGACCTACACCGCCACCACGTACCACCACTATTCCGGGACCGTAGACCCTATGTGGTGCTTTGAAGTACTACTTTGTCGAGGTTTTATGACCCCCTGACGACATTGTGGAGCCTCCATCCCAATCCTTTTAGCTTTAGAAGCCCACAATTAATTCATCTCAGCGCCACAAGCTTTCACTTAATACTGACGGTAGCAATAATTGTGTGGATATCAGTTTTCGTTGATTTAAGTTCTAATCAGAATATGATATCAATATGGATTTAATTTATACCAAAAGACGAAATATGGAATTACGCTACGTGTCAGAGCTGCTCCTTCTGTGTTACAGGGTAGTAATGTTCCTAATGTCAGGGCTGTTGGAGCTGATGTAAGTCGATCCACTGACAATGTTACATCTTTGCATGCCCTTACTTAAGAGTCGTGTCACTTAAGTTTCGTACACGTTATATCAACAACAAATAAACCAAGTTATTCGACTAAAACGGACAGAGAATTGCAATATCCTAAATGGTCGAATTGATGTAACGATTTGCATCAATCACAGCATACCTTGCATTAAGCTACTGCGTATTAAAGCAATTTGTATTTGAAATATCACCATACACCGTTATTGTTGCCTTGGTAATGATGATGATCTTTACAATTTGGTGAACAACACTTAAATAATACTTCGAAATGCTTAGCTAAGATGTATAAATTTCATTGAAAAAATAATCTTCAATGAAAAATTTGAAATACAGTAGAACCCATCTTTAGAACCCATCCTTTGAGGCACCCCTAATTCACGGACACCCCTATTAAGGGGACACTTTTCCATGAAACGAAGGGTGATATCTTTTAAGACTACAGCCAACCCCTATTAAGGGGACACCCCAATTAAGGGGACGGGTGACTTTCTTGCAAAATGGTCAAATACCCCTATTAAGGGGACACTTAATATTTTTTTTACTACAGCGCTCTAAAAATTAAAAAAAATCAATCAACTTTACATTTTGACACTTTTGAGCAATAAACTAGAATTTTCTGCCCTTAATCCATGATTGCATATCAGTATAGGCCTACTACATGTGTTACTTCGTAAACCAATCTGGTCGATTTTGCCTCTTAATAATGGGGAATTCTTTTTCTTTGTTTTTCGTGTATTTCATATAGGATGCTAATCCACATCAAAACATATTACTCTATTC